TTTATTTATTTATTTATTTATTGTGGTGCTGGGGATTGAACCCAGGGCCTTGTGCATGGGAGGAAAGCACTCTCCCAACTGTGCTGTATCCCCAGCCTTAAAAATGATGCATTTATATGATAACAAAACATATTCAAAGAGCATGAATAAGCATATTGAGTATTTGACTATATGAATGAAACATATTCAAAGAAACTTTTCATATAGTGAAATTTTTTTCCCAAATTCATAAATCCCAGCTCCCTTCATAGACCCAACTACCATTAACATTGTCTTCTTCCACATATAAATGTACATATGATTATAGATTGCCTTTTTCCTCTTTAAAACAATGGGGACGCACTCTTTTTAAATATTTTTTTAGTTGTAGATGGATACAATATTTTTATGTGATGCTGAGGATCAAACCCAGTGCCTCACATGTATGAGGCAGGCTGAGCTACAACCCCTGCCCTCAGGACACACTCTTTTTCACTTGTATTTCTCACTTAATTATTCTTAGAACTATTCTATACATATTGCCACATCTGCAGTTACCTAATATTAAAGTTATTTAATACTTCATAATATAGTTGTGTCATAATTTATTCTACCAATCTCCTATTGATGGGATTTGTATTTTTTTTTAACTTTTTGAACAATGCTATATTAACTTTCTTATACATGCATAAGTATTTATAAGATAAATTTCTGTATTTGGCAAGACCTATCAAGAAAAAACATGGAAACTGCCCTCTAAAGAAGCTAACTGAATAGCTTCATAATTTTAAAAGAAAAGAGAGAATAAAAGGATGTGAGAGGTTAAACTTGAACATTTTTCCAGGTGTTTTTCAGCAGCATGCTTTGGTGGAATCATGAATTTTAGATGGCTAAGTGGGATTGCTGCTTGTTACATTCCTGCTTCTTCCCTCCCCCAGCTTTAGTTGTGTTCATTACATTCCTGCCTGGGAAGTGTTCCCAGTGACCTCAATTAGGCATTAAGATCATGGGAATCCAAGATTTTCCCATGTCTTCCAGCGTGTTCACAAGAACATGAAAACATCCTTCTTGTAGCAAGCCAGTTTTAACCACTGTAGTCACTGAGAAATTCTTCATTGAGGGTCTTTTGAATAGAAAAAGTGCTCAAGAAAAGGAAAGGTATCAGTAGGTCAGATGGCACTGATAATATCTGAGGATAGTACATTTCATAGTATTTGAAATATCGTCTCATTTATTTATGGGAAGTAGGTGGACAGGGAGATAATGACTGGCATGTAAATGTAGAAAATACTAGAGAGGCCTACTTGTTTTTGAAAGTTTGTGTGTGTGTGTGKGTGGTGGCAATACTGGAGGTTGAATCTAGGGTTACTCTTCTGCTGAGCTACACCCTCAGCCCTTTTTATTTTTTATTTTGAGACAGGATCTCACTAAGTTGACCATGCTACCCTTGAACTTACTATCCTTCTGCCTCAACCTCCCAAGTTGCTGGGATTATAGGTGTGCACCACAATGCCTGAACATTTTTTTGAATGTATTTTTAAGGAAAGAAAACCTGTATTTGGCGAAACTGCATCTAGCTTTTAGTGTGTATTAAGTACTGTGTTAAGCTACTTAACAAATGGATGAGGTATAAATAAATAAAATCTGCTCCTGTGTTTAGGAACTTCAGTCTATTGGGAGAGACATTTGCATGGTTAACTAATATAAAATTGAATGGTATGTGCAGGGTATTGTGGTGTACACCTGTAATCCCAGTGACTCRGGAGGCTGAGGCAGGAGGACCACAAGTTTGAGGCCAGCCTCAGCAATTTAGCCAGACCCTTAGCAATTTAGCAAGACCTTGTCTCAAAATTTAAAAGGGATGAAAATATAGCTCAGTAGTAAAGAACCCTTGGGTTCAATCCCCAGTAGCTAAAGAAATAAATGTGTTAAAAAAAAAATTAAGTGGTGTGTATTAGATCAGAGATATAAACAAAGCTTGGATTTTGTAAAGACATCAGAGATTTGAATTGGTCTTTGGTAAGATTTTTTTTGGTAGATATAAAAGTTAAGATTGAGGGAAGATAATAAAATAATAAATATATAAAACACCTGGTGCCGCAGTCTGGCTGGGCACAAATCACAAGCCACTCAAGCAGGAACAAACTTTATTTCCGAACTCCCCTGAATGCCACATGGCCTTCTCCCGGACACACCACACACCAACCCCAACCGGAGGAAATCCCCCTCCGGCACTTCCCCAACCAACACAACTCTCCAGGAATCCCCTCGAGAACTCCAAAGTAGCCAGCGCCTGAGGCGGACAGCAGGGATCTAATATACAATTGAATACACAGTTTAACATAACCATATCATCATCTCAATGGCTTGCTGGCATCAACCACTCCGTTCCAACTGTGGCACTCAGCAACCTGGCATAGCCAGGCACAGTGGTATACAACTATAATCCCAGTGATTTGGGAGGCTGAGGCAGGAAGATTGTAAGTTCCAGGCCAGACTCAGCAACTTAGTGAGACCTCAGCAACCAAAATAGAAAAAGGGTTAGGGGTTATAGCTCAGTGGCAAAGTGCCCCTGGATTCAATCCTTAATTAAAAAAAAAACCAAAAAAACAAAGAAAGCCACAACACAACAAAATACACCCTGTACAGTACATAACATTGTGAAGTTCTCTTTGTAGTACCCAACATCTCAAAGAGTGTGTTCAAGTTACTAAAGCAAAAACCGGAACAACTAATTTTTAGGTTGATTTGACATAGAAATGCATATTGTCCAGATGATTTTCTGAATTGCAAAATTCAGTAGTAAAACCAAAGTAGTTGTTGGGGAATCAGTGCCTTAGATTAATGTGCAATCAAAWTTTTTTTTTTTTTTGGCGGTGATGGGTAACAGGGATTGAACCCTGGGGCACTCAAACACTGAGCCACATCCCCAGCCCTATTTTGTATTTTATTTAGAGGCAGGGTCTCACAGTTGCTTTGTGCTTCACCGTTGCTGAGGCTGACTTCGAACTCTTGATCCTCCTATCTCAGCCTCCCAAGCCACTGGGATTACAGGYGTGTGCCACTGCTTCTGGCTGCAACCAAATTTCTGAATCATTTCTTTCCTCAGAAAGTGACCTGTTGAGAAAAGTCATACATATACTGAAAAAAACCTGCTCTTCTGCATTAAGGGTGGACAATGTCACAAGTTACAACAACTTATTCTTTCGATGCTCCTACGGACTTCATTAATTTTACATCTTTGGATGATGAGGAAGATTCCGAAAACATAGATTCATGGTTTGGTAAGTGCTTTCTCTGGCCATTTTACAATTAGTGGCTTGATTTTCTCTGAGTACCTTTCAAACAGAGTTATTTATCTGGGCAGTGGTGCACATCTATAATCCCAGCTACTCAGCAGGCTGAGGCAGGATGATTGCAAGTTTGAGGACAGCCTGGCTGGGCAATTTAGCAAGACTTTGCCTCAAAATAATACCCAGCTAGGCATGGTGGCACACACTTGTAATCCCAATGACTAGGGAGGCTAACGCAGGAGAATTGCAAGTTTGAGGCCAGCCTTAGCAATTTAGCAAGATCTTAAGCAATTTAGCGAGATCCTATCTCAAAAGAAAAGAGGCTGAGAATGTTTCTCAGTGGTAGAGAGCTCCCCTGGGTTCAGTCCCTAGTACTGCAAAAGGTAAAACAAAACAAAATGAAAAAACAAAGAGGAATTAGAAGACAATTCTAATATACAAACCCCTTTATGCACCAAGATACTTTGTCATCCCTSACTTGATAGAAATATATTTGAATTTTGACCTACATGGGTTTGAACTGTATGGGTCCAGTCATACATTTTTTTTTTTTTTTGTAAGATTTGTGATAATTTAAAAAAAACTTGTCAATTGCAGAGCTTAGAAGTTTCAGAAAGTTCAGTATGCCATGAATGCACAAATTTTATTTTGGCATGGGAGGATGAATGGAAAGGCATCCTACCATTGAGCTACATCCCAACCCCTTTTTTATTTTGAGATGGGGTCTTACTAAGTTGCTGAAGCTGCCCTTGATCTTGAGGTCCTCCTGTCCAAGCCTTCTGAATTGTTGGGATTACAAGCATGTGTCACTGCTTTTCTAAGGAGCTATTCACACTTGCAGATTCCAAAATTTTGCTTTTGTTCATTGTACATTGTTCAGTGTTGCCACTTGTTTAGTGATAGTTTTCAGAGTTTCTGATATAATGTGTATTCATTTCCTTTTTCTTTTTCCCTTCTTCTGGAGATTGAACTCAGTGGTAGCCCATTTGCCCAGTGGTACTCCTACTCTTCCAGTCCTCCTCTTCCTTGTGCATGTCTAAAATTTGTTTAAACAATATTTTATTTTGTCATTTAGTACCATAAAATATGTACAAATCAATTATGAAAAGTTAAAATGTATCAAACTTAACATAGACTCTTATGGACTATGTATGGTGCCATATGCTGAGAGAAATGTAAATAAATGTAAAGATGTGACATTAAATTTTAACTGCAGGGGGCTGGGGCTGTAGCTCAGTTGTAGAGCGCTTGCCAGCAGGTGTGAGTAAGGCACTGGGTTTGATCCTTAGCACCACATAAAAATAAACAAAAGCATTCTGTCCATCTATAACTACCAAAAATCATAATTGCATAAAATTAACTGTAGTAATACCATATTATTGTTACAATTTTGTAATTACCCTCATTGCAGGGAACCTAAAATTCTCTGTAAATTTTTTTAATATTGTTTTAATAATAGATGGGCATAATTGTAGATGGGCATAATTTTATTTATTTATTTTATATGTGGTGCTGGAGTTCAAACCAGTGCCTCATGCATGTGAGGCAAGCACTCTACCACTGAGCTACAACCCTAGTCCTCTCTACAGATTTTTGACTGTGAGAGTGTGTACCCCTAATTATCAAATTGTTTAGTGGTTGGCTGTAATTAAAATGCCCAATATTTGGGGAATGGACTGTAAGTACAAATTAATGTTATTTTGTAATTGAAAATGACAGATATTCAGGCTTTGAGGATGTATAGGAAAATCCAGATGAAACAATGTTCAGTAAGTCTCCAGGAGGCATACATGTCTGAAATGATGACAGCCACAAGAAATCTTATAAGCAGGGCGTGGTGGTGCACGCCTGTAATCCCAGTGGCCTGGGAGGCTGAGGCAGGAGGATCTCCGATTCAGAGCCAGCCTCAACAAAAAGCAAGGCACTAAGCAACTCAGTGAGAACCCGTCTCTAAATAAAAATACAAAATAGGGCTGGGGATGTGATTCACAGTGTTTTGGTGCCCAAGTTCAATCCCCTGTACCAAAAGAAAAGAAATTTTGCTCTGTATCATTTGACATAGACTATAATATTACAACTTGGATATTGACATTGATATAATATGCCAATTTTACTCAGATTTCCCCGCTTTTACTTTATTTTTGTGTGTGTATATGTATTAAATTCTCTTCAATTTTATCACTTGTGTAGGTTCATGTTTCTGCTACCTCAGTCAAAATCCAAATGTTTTATTTATTTTTTTCTTACCAATGCTGGGGATTGAACCCAGGGCCTCCTGCATACCATGCAAGCACTCTACCAATTGAACTACACCCAACCCTTTGCACAAGTTCCCCACCCTCCCCTGCCCCCACCCT